TAACTGCTTCCATTATCTGTCAATCGGCTCGTCACAAGAGTCCATCACGACAGACATCAGCTAGCCATACCCTTACTGGGATTCGAACCTGTGCTGTATTGCATCTTAGGCAAACGTCTTAGCCATTAAGCCACAGATCTCCTCCTTATATATATATATTTGTGCTACTGGGAAGCAGCCAGACAAGAAACTGATTGCTGGGATTGTGGGAGGGTGAAGGATTTTGAGCAATGATTGAAGCAGCCATTTGTCTGAAGATTTTCAATTTGGGGGCTGGACTAGAGGATCTCCAAGGGTCTCACGGTTGTAAGAATTCTCCACGATTCTAGGAAACGGCAAAGAAGGGGAAATTCTGCCCGAAGGGGTTAAAAGCATGCAGTTCGCCGGGTTTGGGGGGATCTACACCATAAATTTCTTTTGCCCCAGATATTGTAGAGTTTCTTGTCCTAACCAGAATCTGGTTTCCTTCAAACTCAGCTGATTTGAAGCAAGGAGAGAGATTAGCCTCCTGAAAGGATCTGCTACAAAGCCCATCGTCCACATCATGGAGTCGAAGCTGGCCTCCCCGTTTGGATGAGCTCTGGCCCGGGGGAATGTGGGCAGAGGACCCCCTCCCCAGGACCGAGGAGAAGACCTCCCAGGTCCCTTAAGGGCTGGTGGTGTGATGGGGTGGTTGATCCTATCACCCCCCCCATCCGATCAAAGCCATCCGATCTCTGGGCAGCTAAAAAATGCGATCTGCTTAGGAGGATCATGGGAGGAAGATCCTCCATCGCTGGGATCTATTTTTGGAGGGAAGATGATGACCAGATATTTTTCCTTAGATCCTTCTAGTTATTTTCCCTCTCAAGGGGCAGTTTTTTCCCCTCGTGCTGTCAATCTGCTGAATACCTAATTCTGATAGTGCTGCCTAAGTATATTTACCCATGTAGTATGGCTGTAGTATCCTATTCTATTCTATTCTGGTTTATTCTATTCTATTCTTTGATTATTCTCTACTGGGGGAAAGGGCGGCATAGAAATGTAATAAATTCAATTCAATTCAATACTGTTATATTCTTTATTCTATTCTATTTTATTCTATTCCTATTTTCTATTCTAATCTATCATTCTCTGTTCTGTTCTATTCTATTCTTCAATTATTCTCTACTGTTATATTCTATTATTTATTCTATTCTATTTTCTATTTTATTTTATTCCTATTTTCTATTTTCTATTCTAATCTATTATTCTTTATTCTGTTCTATTCTTCGATTATTCTCTACTGTTATATTCTAATTTATTCTCCATTCACTTCTTTATTCTATTCTATTGTATTCTGTTCCGTTCCATTCTATAATTCTATTCCTATTCTTCGACTAGTCTCTACTGTTATATTCTATTCTTTATTCTATTCTATTTTCTATTTTATTCTATTCCTATTTTCTATTTTCTACTCTAATCTATTATTCTCTNACTCCCAGAATTCCCCAGCCAGCATGCTTTATAATCTCTGGACTTCAACTCCCAGAATTCCCCAGCCAGCATGCTGTATAATATTTGAACTTCAACTCCCAGAATTCCCCAGTCAGCATGCTTTATAATATTTGGACTTCAACTCCCAGAGTTCCATGCATGAATCACATGTTGGCTGAAGAACTCTGGGAGTTGAAGTCCAGAGATTATAAAGCATGCTGGCTGGGGAATTCTGGGAATTCCACCCATGGTGGAAAAACGCAGTTCGAGAAGGCATAGGGCAGCCTCCAACGAACCCCCAAATGTTTCTCTACGACCGCAGAGCAGACGTCCTCGTTTTCTGACCTATCCCTCAGCCGACTCACGCTCTGGTCGTTGTCTTCGCTCTTCATGTGGTCCGCGATGAAGCGCACCCCGTCGATCGCTTCCTCCAACCCGCAGCAGCAGGCTTCCTGCTCGGGCGCCGCTTGGCCCAGCCTTTCCCGGAAACCGTTGACGCCTTCGGAGCTTTCGGTGAAGGTCCTTCCACTGCTACTCCCTGTCCCGAACTTCTTGACGGTGGATGGGTTGACGTAGCAGGTGCAGGAACGGGTCCCTCTTGGCATGAAGAAGCTGCCCAGCGCCCGTTCCTGGCTTTGGCGCTTCTGGCGCAGCTGCTGGCGGGCGCAGCTCTGGCGGGGCTGCTTGAGGAAGAGCAAGGTGGGCAGCTTCTCCAGGAAGACCACTTTGACCCAAGGAGGCATGGTGTGGGTGGTGGGAGAACGGTGGTGGACGTTGAGGACGCAGACGCTGGTGACGATGGAGAAGGTCACCAGCACCATGGTGAACATGAGATACTTCCCGACCAAGGGGACATCCAGCGAAGTCGGGGGCACAATTTTGGAGATGAGGAGCAGGAAGACGGTGAGGGCCAGAAGAACTGAGATGCAGAGGGTCATCTTCTCGCCACAGTCGGAGGGCAAGTAGAAGACCAAGATGGCCAAGGAGGTGATCAGGACGCAAGGAATGATGAGGTTGATGGTGTAGAATAGCGGCTTTCGGCGGATTATAAAGTCGTAAGTGATATCCACGTAGGTCGAGTCGTTGGGGTTCTCGTTGCGGCGGCCCGGCAGAGCCATGATGTCCCACTCGCCGCTGGGGGTGAAGTCATCCAAGCTGGCCACGTCGCTCTTCAGCACCAGGTCGATCTCCGTCCGGTCATACGTCCACGAGCGGAACTTCATGGTGCAGTTTTGCTGGTCGAAAGGGAAGTGCTTGACCTCGATCTTGCAAGCACTCTTGTAGATGGCCGGCGGGAGCCAGAAGATGCTACCGTCGTACGAGACCACTGCGTTGGAGTAGAAGGACACCTCGTACATTCCATCCGCGCTGGGGGCGGGAGAGAAGAAGAAGTGGAATTGGGATCAAAGCTGAATTTTTCCACACATGGTCCTTGATCGTAACAGAGCCCAAAATTTTATTTGCCAAGCGAGACACTGTTCCTGCCACGGTTGTTAAGTGAATCGCTATAGTTCTTAAGTTACTGACGCTGTTGTTAAATGAATCTGGCTTCCCCACGGAAGGTCACAAAAGGGGGGGTCATGCGACTCTGGGCCTCTGGGACCCTGCAACCGTCATAAATATGAGTCAGTTGCCAAGTGTCCGGGTTTTGACCATGGGGAGGTCATATGTGTGAAAAATGGCCACAAGTCTTTTTTTTTCAATGCCGTTGAAGTTGCAACTTCAACCAGTCATTGAATGAATGGTTATAAGTCAAGGACTAACTGTAACCCAAATTGGAGGAGAAATGAATCCAGGGATCATTCTATTGGCTCTGTGAAATTGACTAGAAGGCATTCTGAAATTGACTCAATTGGGTTGTGGAATTGACCAGAGACTGAGGGAAGAATTGTCCCAATCTCTGACAATCAGATCTTTTTTCTTTAATTAGCACTATGAAATTGACTAGAAGAGATTCTGAAATTGACTCAATTGGGCTGTGGAATTGACTAGAGACTGAGGGAAGAATTGTCCCAATCTCTGACAATCAGATCTTTTTTCTTTAATTAGCACTATGAAATTGACCAGAAGAGATTCTGAAATTGACTCAATTGGGCTGTGGAATTGACCAGAGACTGAGGGAAGAATTGTCCCAATCTCTGACAATCAGATTTTTTTTCTTT